AATAGATCAACGAAACAATAATTTATCCAACGGATCTGAATAAAATAGTCGAGAAAACAGTCGTCAAAAACTAACGGTTCTAAATATATATATATATATATATATATATATATATATATATATATATATATATATATTCGAGTTATTTGTAACCATAGCAACGTCACGCTGTTTGTTTCAACAGCGATTTAAACTTACTTCTTTCCCAAACGTCCCTCCAGCAAACCTTTTTTCGCCGACACATCTGTACAAATCTCGTCGAAGAATCCTATTAAGAATTTCTTTTGATTTTTTTAGTTCCTCTCTATCGCTTTCTATGATTTTATGAATGACTCCATCGTTTAGAAGAGTGTAGGCCTTCATATCCTTGACTGTATCGGACATGCAGACAAGTTTTCTAAAAAATGATTTAACATATCTAAAGCGGAACGCAGACAGAAATAAATCCAATCATACATGTGGAACTTCTTAGGAGTTCATTTGGGAGTATGTATAATGCTGTTGCTAACAAGTGTTGTCGATAATGACATTAAATTAATCATCCAAACTGTACGCCTTCAACACACACGCACGACTGCAATCATTCACACGCACGCACACATTCACACACACACGCACACGCACGCACACTTACGCATACACACACACACACACACACACACACACACACACACACACACACACACACACACACACACACACACACACACACACACACGCACACACACACCATAACACACACACGCACACACACACAAAGACACTTCAACATTAGCATGACTTATTGTTTATTCGCGCAGTGAATGCAGAATCGTTGAACGCCTTACGTCCTTTTATTTGCTCGAGTCTAAGTTCGTTTAATGAAAACAGTCGAAAACTAACAACTTTGAGTATTTAATTTCCCTTAATTTACAAGAACTAGATTTAAGTAAGGAAATAAATAAGAAAATATTATATTTCTTTTTTTTGGGGGGGAAGGGGTGCGGATGCGAGGGGGTCGTGAAACACTGTCTTTTCTTTCGGAGTGAAAATGTATCAACAAAATACTAGTACTGCAAATGTTCGATGGAGGAAAAATCATTAACAACTCTCAAAAAATTTAATTTAATTCTTTATTTTATCATTATTTTTTATTTTATTTATTTATTTTTAAAAAAGGCAAAAAAAAAACCTTTACCCATCTTCGCCCTCGAATTTTATGAACTCGTCAGCTAACACCAAAGCTTCGGCCAGCCTGCAATAACAATGGTGCATATTAAATCTATTGCCTGGTAGTGATTGTGCTACGGACTGTTACAAGGTGGTACAACCACCACTCATTCCAATGACCCTGTAAGGTCTAAGATTAACTTTCCGGAATTATTTGTAATGTGTAGTTATCCCACACCTTCCCTGGCATCTTTTATTACAAGCGTTTGCTTGTTTTTCGCTCTACTGGTTGGGAGGAGGGATGAGCTATCTTCCTTGATGGTTTTGGCTGTGTTTTTTGCAATTAAAATATTGTTTTAAGTTATAGATAACATCCAACATACCTTTTCAGTAGTATTAAAGCTTTCTTTGCATCAGTTCAGAAAAATGTGACATAAAATGGATCCTTTTAGAATAATATTGTAAATTACTATACTTACATGCATATCATATGCCAATACACTTATGTCATTTGTATTATATCATTGGCTGCTTTTAAAATGGGACAACCATTTAGACATTTAAGGGATTTCTAAATCAAAATTACAAAAATTGATCTTTCAGCAGGATAGTGTCTGATGACACTGCACGGAGGCGTAAGGCTGGCCTCTCCTAACATCGACAACAAAGGCTACAAACTTCGTTCAATCTCTACTTAAGAAGTAATCTGTTACTTTATTGATATTATAATAATATCTTAAGACGTCAGTCCAGTATAAACAGTATAGCTTTGAATTATGTGTTGAAACATCGGGCAATTATAAAATTATACAAATAACTAATATTTCCATTGCTTGCGGTAACGTTTCTTACATTGATACATACATGATTTCGACGCTGTTGCTTGTCTTGTGTTGGTACGCCCTCTGATGGAGTAAATTTCTGATATGAAACATATCATACAGGTTTGTAGCTTCCTAGAAATGAACATTGTTTGTAGATTTTTACCATGCATGTACTGTATTTTCTTTTTATACTCTACATTAAATATCGCATTTAAAGATATACAATCAAATACATGTATACTTAGTGATTTATATTTTGTTATGACGTTTAAATATTTATCTTTATTATCATACACAGCGTGTGTACAACATACAACATGATATGCTAGTAGGTTATGTAAACAAATCTTCTTTTTGCAACAAATTTAAAGATCCTGTAACACATTAGATAGTTTTATATGTTAAATATGATGCTCAAATTAAGATATATCAATTTTTTTCAGTTCTAAAAAGCATTGTGTATAAAGATATAACCGAATTTAACATTTCATGTAAATAAAAGTAGGTAATACAAAATTTATTTTTTCAATAAGAAATGAATGTATATATTTTAATGACTACATATAATATGTACAAATATTTGCAGTACATATTCTTCGATGATTGAAAATTGTTTTATAAGCATAATTGTATACATATATATAATTTTACTTAAATGTGGTATACAGCCTCAATTACAACATACAGGATCTTTAACAAGTCTTTGGTCTTATCTCGGCTTCCGCTCTCCAGGATAAGTAACAAGTAATACCCAATTTCTGCGCAAGTGACTGACGTCTTTATTAGTGCTTATCCCAATTAAGTTTTTAATCAGCGGCAAGCGACAAATGACCATTAGACTCAATGTCTTAAATCAGTTATCACGAAGAAATTACGCCACGCCCAAAGATCGACTCATTGTCTTATATCAATTATCACGACGAAATAACGCCACGCCCAAAGATCGACTCATTGTCTTATATCAGTTATCACGATGAAATTACGCCACGCCCAAAGATCGACTCAATGTCTTAAATCAGTTATCACGAAGAAATTACGCCACGCCCAAAGATCGACTCAATGTCTTAAATCAGTTATCACGAAGAAATTACGCCACGCCCAAGGATCGACTTCAATGTCTTAAATCAGTTATCACGAAGAAATTACGCCACGCCCAAAGATCGACTCATTGTCTTATATCAATTACGAAGAAATTACGCCACGCCCAAGGATCGACTTCAATGTCTTATATCAGTTATCAAGAAGAAATTACGCCACGCCCAAAGATCGACTCAATGTCTTAAATCAGTTATCACGAAAGAAATTACGCCACGCCCAAGGATCGACTCAATGTCTTATATCAATTATCACGAAGATATTACGCCACGCCCAAAGATCGACTCATTGTCTTATATCAATTATCACGAAGAAATTACGCCACGCCAAATGTTCGCACCAGCAAACACTATCTAGATCATTTTTCTTATGCATATAAAAGTGATCTAAAGACAAAACACTGCACCAGATCTACATAAGGCGACAATTGTTTATACCAGATGTTTAATCAGTATTCATATATTAATAGAAAATCAAAAATCGAGGATATTTGTTTGGTAAGTGATCATGGATTATACACTTAACGAAACTTATAAGTACTCCGATTTCAAACGTGCAGGAAAACCTCGGTTTTCAAAATATATACTAAATTGACTAAACTTGAAGGTATTTGATTTTTTTACAATGGTGATCTCAGTGACTGTTTTTTTGTTAAGTTTGAGTTATTGTAAAATGCATTTACTATTATAAAATGATGATTCTATGATTAAAGTTTATACAGTATTGACTTAGACTAGTTATGGTCAGAGTACTTATAAGTTTCGTTAAGTGTATATCAATTTGGTTTACTTTATATATCTAGAGCGCAAAGCGCGAGTTACAAAAAGATTTATAAAAAGCAAAAATGTTTGCAAATCTTGCTCAGGCAGTTAAAAAAGTGGCAGCAAAGATCCTAAATAAGTTAAAATAAAAAATGTTTTCCCCTCGTGCGTTTCATGGCCTATTTCTATGTTTCAAAAAATGTGATATGTCTTATATCTCATTAAAACATTTCAATATTTCACCGAACAACATTAGATAATATACAAATATGAACTTTTTAGCTGGAGAATATGAGAGTTACCCGACTTTTTTTTCTGGAATTAAAACAATAAACTTGGCGTGACGTTACGTCATAGCCTCGCGTATTTTAGAGAGTTTTCAGATTATCTATTTTTAGAAAAAAAAACAGTGAATATACTCCGATATTGACCTGTTATTTTTTAACAAAAAGTTGATTCTAAGCCAATCCGAAGAAGGCATTTCAAAGCTTTTTATAAATCAAATAATAAATACTTTGTCTCTGTAGCAAATCTGCTGTTCAAACTTTCCGTCTATTCCTTTGACACTTATTACCCTTGAGAATGATATTAACCGATTGTGGTTAAAATTGTTCCCAATACCCAACATGTGACAGTCACGTGCAAAGTAGTCCCACTTGTCAACGTCTATCTTATTTCGGTCGTTCGAAACAATCTACAATGTTTACAATTGTTTAAGATTGTATTTTAAAAGTCAGTGAGTTTACTGGCGTGAAATGCAGCAGAATATAACCAGAACAAACTTCTCTAGTATATAATTCTAATATTGGAAATTCCTTTCATTCACTATATAATTGATAAATATTAATTAATAATATTTTAATTACAAATGGTGCTTCACAAAATCTTTATTGTCCGTGTATTCACGTGATTAACACGGAAATCTACGAACATATTCAAATTGTACATATATTTATTTTCAGCGATCATTGAATTGCTTTATCAAATGAAAATGTCTATGCTTTTTTAGCGTTTGATTTTTTTTGTTAAACGGTTAGCTATTACTTATTTTGATTATTTTCCTTAAATGCAACTGTTGACATGCGTTGACAAGCCCTTGCTCCATAGAAAGTCAATCGTCTAATTTAAGCAATTTTAATAGGTTCTTTAAATTTCTTTTTAAAAAACAGGCTGCAAAAATAGTATTATTTGTAAATAACAAGTATTCAGAAGTAAAATACAGTAAATTTGAAGAAATGTTCCATATTAATATCAAAATAATACATTTCCATTGATTTATCATTATTTGCAATACTATGGAAAATGTGCCCAAAGTAGACCAATCCACTTTCATGATAAAAATTGAAATGATATGTGTACGCCATTATGTCGATTAGTAAACATAAATATCATACAAGTATATATATCGACAGAGCCAAAAGATTCATGGATTAACACAAAATACAAATAGAGCTTAATTATTTAATGTGACTATTTAAACGTCTAAACAAAGTTGTAATTATTAATAAAGAAGATTGTCTTTCCAGATTAAAAGAGACCATGAACTTTTGACGAAACACAGATTATTAGAATGCATAAAAATACATTTAATCAAATTTCTTGTTTCGTAAGATTATATAGTTGCTTATACATGTACATGTATATCTAGAATATCAAAAAAAATTACCTCGTAAAGAAACCATTTTTCTTCCGTTCTTCCTTTGCGCTCATGTTTTTTTGGTCCATTAATCAATTCTTTAATAAATGTTATATCGGTTTCCGTGAATTTTATATCGTTGAATTCTCTTGCAAGTCCTGCATTTACTTTCAGCATGTGATCAAACATGTCGATCGAGCCTTGCTCGTGCTTCATGAAAAATATATCAAGATACACGTGATTATTCACACATCCTTATCCGAAGTTTGACGGAAACGACCGAGGTTTAATTGTAACTCTAACAATCCAAACCAGTTTTCTGTTTTTATTGACTAAATAACCTTGGGTAAAGTTATCAACTCACTACAGTGTTTAGGCAGTACCTCTAGACGCTTGTAGAAATCATGATCACAAAGTAGAAAAAAGTCACTTTTTCACCGATTCTTACATTTTTCATTCATTATCTTTTTAAATCAATGCGAACGGATGAAATGACGCGTGCGTGATCGTAAAATGCAACTAAATGGGTTCGAGTAACTAACTTCCATGTCTCTCATAGCTCCAGCAGGGTTGACTTTGGTGTTGCTTTAAGTTGAGGTGTCCTGTTTACCTTAACTGTGTGTGTGTGTGCGCCGTTAAACCATAAAAAAATAAAGCATTTTCAAGTAAAATTTAAATCTAAAATAATATCTATTTTCCTATCAGCATATTATGTTATACCCCCTGGCGTCCGTCTGTCTGTCTGTCTGTCCGAGCAAACATTTTGGGTTTAGGGGCTATATAACATTAAAGAGAACAAAAGAGAACAATAGGTTCATTCTGTGATCAAAGGGTTTATGGGCTAGTAGCTATAGCCCTTAAGAAAACAAAGAAAATAACAAAGAAAATAGCCCCTGAACCCAAAATGTTGGAACGTCCGTCCGTCAGTACGTCCGTCCATCTGTTAGCAATTTGGTTTCCGGAGCATAACTTAAGTTCCATTTGGCCCACAATGCTCATACATACGATGATTGTCAATATTGTGTGGAAGACCCCTATTGATTTTAGGGTCACAAGATCAAAGGTCAAGGTCATTATTACCTTGATACTGAAAACAGTTTCCGGAGCATAACTTAAGTTCCATTCAGTTCACAATATTCAAACTTCTTAGGATTATTGTCCATATTGGGTAGAAGAACCCTGTTGATTTTGTGGTCAAAAGATTAAAGGTCAAGGTCACTATTACCTTAAAATTGAAAACAGTTTCCAGAGCATAACATAAGTTCCATTTGACTCACAATATTCAAACTTCATAGGATGATTGTCCACACTGGGCAAAATGCCCCTATTGATTTTGGGGTAACTTGGTCAAAGGTCAAGGTCACAATTACCTTGAAACCAAAAAGAGTTTCCGGAACATAACGTTAGTTCCATTTGGCCCACTGTATTTAAATTTCATAGGATGATTGTCCATATTGGGTAGAAGACCCCTATTGATTTTTGGGTCACAAGGTCAAAGGTCAAAGTCACTTTTATCTTAATACTGAGCATAACTTAAATTCCATTTGGCCCACAATATTCAAACTTCATACTATGATTGTACATATTGGATAGTTGACCCCTATTGATTTTGGGGTCACAAGGTCAAAGGTCAAGGTCACTATTACCATAAAATTGAAAACAGTTTCCGGAGCATAACTAAAGTTCCATTTGGCCCACAATATTCAAACTTCTTAGGATGATTGTCCATATAAGGTAGAAGACCCCTTATTGATTTTGGGATCACAAGGTCAAAGGTTAAGGTCCTCATTAATAACTTAAATATTAATGAACCTACAGCTGTTAAATTTTATAGGATGAACAGCTTATTCCCATTTCTCACAAATGCTTCATCGTTACTAAAAAAAAAAGTGACCATGTATGTTTGGTTTCTTTACCCTAGTACAATTGGTGACCAAATGTGTTGAACGAATGACTAAGAGATTTTCAAACTATCACATTCATAACGTTTTCCACTTTCCGCGTGACAGACAACTGCATATGATAAACAAACCACTTCTTAATTAATAATAAATGCATAGTGATTTTATAGTGTGATCATCCTGATACACACGTCCTGTTGGCTGCGTGTCGCCCTTATATGTCTCAACGACACTTAATGTCGCACTAGCCACTAAATGTTGCAACTGCCGCTTAATGTCTTAAAATATGTTGCCGTTAAATGTCGCAATGATTACGTTAAATGTCGCACCATTTCCCCTTACCGTTAAATGTCATAACACTATATTTATATGTCACAGTATCTAAATTGATGATAAATAACTTGTATTATGTCAATATCAAATTTATATATTGCGACATTTAACGGTAGTGTTGCGAAATAAACGGTACCGGAAAATGGCATTTAAGGTAGTGTTTCGACATTTAACGGCAAAATGTTTTGAGAAATTTAGCGCGGTTGCAACATTTAGCCGTAATAGTGCGACATTTAGCGGCAAATGCAACATTTAGCGTCGTTGTGACATATAACGGCGCAACATACTGCAACAGATACTGTTTAATATCATTAGTGAAACATATACCTTAAAGTTTTTGCATTCATAAATTAACAGAAAAAAATCACGTATGAAGTTTAAACAACGTAGTCGTTTGCCATCATCTACAGTGAAAATAATTATTGTTCTAAAAAATGACTTCTGATTTACAACTGTAGTCATATGGCCAGTTTAATAAATTGAAGCAAATACATATGTATGTTAAATGACTTACCGTCCATTTCCCATTCTTTTTACGCTTTTCCCAAGCTTCAGGAATAATTTTCATATCAAAGAGATGAGAAAACGGTCCGTGTCCTGTGTTCAAGTGTAAAAAATGCAGTAAATTATTTCTTCTTTTTTTCTCAAATTTTAGGTCCGATAAAAAGAGGAGAATAGTGTTCTATTACAAGAAATGTCAGAAGGACAGCACGCTAGACTATTCTTAGTGCTTGATAGTAAGGGCGCTTTTACTACGTTCATAAAATGGCCATTGTTTTTCAAATCCATGTTACAGTTACATGCCATGGAGAGAATCCTATTATGCTCTTAAAGAAGTGTTTAAAATTTCTGTCTTTTTTCAAAGCAATGTGTCAATAAAATATGAAAATATCTGAAGTTGTACGCAATCTTTAACGTAAATTATAAGTCGAAACAGTGGCGTAATTCTACCAAAATTCTTTAAAGAGTTACCTGCTCCTGTCTACATAATCGTGTCATGATGGTGAACATGTGTGCAAAGTTTTAAAGCCATATGTCAATTGACTTTGAAAATATATGAGGCGGTACGCAAATTTAAACCTTAAAGTCATAGATGGAAATGGGTATAATGATGTCGAGATGCTTGATAGAGTAACCTCCTCTTGTCTACTAATTTTGGTCATTATGATGAACAAGTGTGCAGAGTTTCAATGCCATGAGTCAATGGAATTTGAAAATATTAGCGGTGGTAAGCAGACTTTAACGTAAATTCTAAGTCAAAAAAGGGGCATTATTTTGCCAAATGATTGATAGAGTTACCTTTTCCTATTAAAAGGTTAGAGGCATGATGGTGAACAAGTGTGCTAAGTTTCATTGCCATATGTCATTGGACTCAATATTTCAGGTGGTATGCGAACTTTACATAAATCTAAATCCAAAAAGGGGCATAGTTCTGTCAAAATGCTTGATAGAGTTACTTCCTCTTGATCAAGTGTGCAAAGTTTCAAAGACATATGTCAATGGAATTTGAAAATATTTGAGGTATTACAAAAACTTTAACATAAATTCTTAGTTAAAAAGGGGCATAATTCTGTCAAAATGCTTGATACAGTTACCTCCTCCTGTCTACAGGTTGGGGTCATGATGGTGACCAAATGTGCAAAGTCCCAAAGCCATTTGTGAATGTTCTTGGAAAATATTTGAGGTATTACAAAAACCTATGCTAGGATTACTACAGTAGCTCTTCTTATTCTTATCGACTAGTCGAGCTAAAAACATCATTTGATTTCACACAATTTGACATCAAATATAAGAGCCCCATGATGCGTAAATTCACGATTTCAATTTCACAAATTTCACGAATACAACTTCGTGAATTTAATTCAAATCGTGAATTCAAAACGTTAAATCGTGAATTCATGAATGTGAAATTATGAATTCGTGAAGTTGAAATCGTGAACTCATAGAGTTGAAATCGGGAATGCATGAAGTTAAAATGTCCCCCACCGGTCTTTCGTAGAATTGATATCTTTTTTTCAAAACAAATCTTACCAAGGTCATGACACAAGGCTGCGATTTCAACACAAAGTTCATCTTCAGGTGTTATGTTCAGTTCCGGTTGGTTTTCTTTAAGCGCTCGCACGAATCGTCCGGCTAGGTGACAAACGCTTTCATGTAACAAAAAAATCAAGAACTAAAAATCATTATTTACTGCAGATTCGTCTCGAAATGTTATTTTTTGTTTATTTTATGTTGTTTATGGTGTATTCTTTTAAGTAAACGAGTATGGTACACGACATTTCTAATCCATAGAAGAAGTTTACATAAATATTAATCTGTGATTTGTCCAAAAGAAAATGCATGAGCGAGCTGTTAATAATTGTTAATTCATATTCGTTGAATTTTACGACAATCTTCACAAGCTTGTCAATTTGAAGACAGAAAAGCCAGCTAACACAAAAGCCAAGTTAACGTTGATTAAATGCTGGGCTTCGTTTTCTTCCCGCTGAAACCCAGCTCCAATTTAATCATTTTTTATCTATATATTGGGACAGGGGACATATCCGAATGATGGCCCCGGTCATTTTTTTTATTTACTTAGACACGGTGTTTTGAAAGTACTGGAAACTTTTGATATTTCTCTGTCACTGTAATTCTTTCTTGTTTGTATGTAGCAAATGATAATTATTTTTGGGCTTTTACCCGAAACTAAGCATTTTGGTAGCTTTGTATGTATTTGTGACTCTCCGAATGGAGGTGAAAAAGTTAAAAATCAAGCTTTGACAGTTGGCGCCAAACTAGTAAGAAATTTCGGATAAATTTTGTGAAAAATCTAAACATATGACAGACACTTAATTTGTCATTTTTGAAAATGCCATTGCTTCACTGTGCGTTAGTGATATTTTTAAAGGAATCGGGCGGATTCTGGAGTATGCTGCACCTTCATGAAGATTGCCCATATTGGTATATTTTTTAGGTGTGATTTTGGGTGGATGGGGGTAAATATAAATTGCTGTCAGTCATTTTTCATAAGGAGCAATGCATGCAAACTATTATTTTCTTCAATGTATGTCATATATCATTTAATAATGCTGTGCAACTGGTTATCTGCCTGTGAAACATATTTTGAAATATTTGGAATAACGTTTCTGGCCACACTGAAATACAAAATTGTTCATTTTAAGTCCCCTGCCCCCTATTCATTTGGTTATTATAAGCAACTTCCCGCTATACAACTTTACACATAATTTAAATAATGGAAATTGTAGTAGCATGATCAGATAAAATAACCGTAAAAGACGGAATAAGTGGGAAATGTCTGTGATTACGTGCAATAGTTTTAGACAAAGGTCCAGCACATAATTATTTGAGATTTAGATAAGTGGTACCCTTGAACATAATCAGGTAAATGCTCCAGTTATGATGTAGTAGTATCAACTATTTTCACAGCAGCCATGTGTTATTTAAACATTATACATGTAACTGGTCTAAGTTCTGTGTACAATAGGCAAATTGAATTTTACTACTTTTGATCAACAAGCGCTTTGTAGTCCAGGGGAGATTATTAGTACATAATTGAATACGGAGCTAAATAAGAGTTATGTCCCTAATAGTAACATTAAATAACGTAATATATATTGGAAGGTAAACACATTATCGCTCGGTGGTAGTTAAAGAATATATAAGATTAAAATAAAAACCTGTGAAACAAAATATAACGAGAAACATACCCGATGCAGTGCTCGAACCTGTTATGTGAGGCCCCGGGGTACACAAAATAAACACCACCGAGTTGTTTAATGAATCTCAGACGTTGAAATTGCGGCGTGTCAACGATCTTCACAAGCAAGGGATGTAACTCTATATTACCGTGGATAGGATCGTTAAAAACCTGTCAATAATAAATTAAGGCTTTCTTTTAACTTTTTGATTATTCGCATTCATTTTACAAAGGAATATGCAGCTTTAATATAAAATTAATAATTACTAGTGCCCTGAAAGCGACAGAACTAAGAACATTGTTCATTCATATACAGACAATAAATATTTGTAATTAATCTTAATCATTGTCATCTTTTTAAGTTTATTACTGTCCGAAGCCCCTTACACTTTTATTCAATTAAAATATTGGGGCCCGCAAATGAATTGTTTGATATACTTTGCATAAAAGCTCATTGATAAACAATTTTTAGAATTGGGTTGAATTTTAAAGTAGCTAGAAATTGAATTTAGGTGTCTCAGAGGTCAAAAATATTAATTATTATTATCATTTTTAAAAATAAAACAACTTTATGAATTTAGTGAAATATTTCTGAATGATTTTTAAATATCAACATGTCACGACATGATTTGATGACGTCATGAACTTGAGCGTAAGTTGTAACGCCAACGTGAATTTAAGCCATTAAAACACTGCAATGAATAAAAAAAATATATTTTTGCATATTATATCTTTCTTTTGACACCAGCTGATATATATTCACAAGTGGCAACGCTACTCGTGAAAATACTCATATATGTGTCTTTAAGTTTTTAAATGTTATCACACTTAGCAGACAACCACAACTTAATCAATCAACCAATCAATCAATCTATCAATCAATTTGTCAATCGATCAATATATATTTCTATCAATCAATTAATCATTCATTCATGAATAAATAAATAAAATAAAGAAAAACAAATTTATCTGTAGGTTTATTTATTTATTGTTTACCTTAGGAGCCATTTTGCGCTTCTTTTCTGGGCTAGCCATTTTACGTTTCTTTTTGGTGTAATCTTTCTGAAAAATATGAATATCAGAATATTCAGATTATCACCTTCTTTTTTCAACATTAAAAAAATCTGACGTACAGAAATGGAGAAAAATAACATTTAAATAACTATTAGATAAATAAATGAACCGAATAAATTAAATTTTAGATTCATGCAACATTTACAATTACTTTACAATTTTGTGTATGTGACTACTGTGCTGAAAAGTTTATGTTATATTTATACAAAGTGTAAAGAACAGAAGAAATATTATTATAGATTATTTATGACATATTTTTGCAGAAACAACTTACGAAGTTTTAAAAACAACTTAAGAAAATGTTAAGGACTTACAATGCACAGAATATAATTTACATCATTTAACGGCCATTATCCATTTTGCGGGCCGATTATCACCTTTTGGCCGTACTCTGCCGTGTATTAAATCTCTTAAAACAGATTCATGATGTATATTAAAAACAAAACAGATATAATTTATCCTTGTGCTTGGACAGTATTTATCTAATTCTTCATGTTTTGCGTATGCGTTTTATTTTTCCGGGGCCAACAACTTGGGAAATACAAATGCTCAGAACCGAACGAAATTTCGAAAGTTAATTGATTTAACTTTTAAACTTTAAAGTTTAACATTAGATATTTATTAACTCAAGAAAAAACATTTAATTTATCTACCCAAGACAAAACATGACCCTCAGAAATTCCTAGAATGATTAGAAAAAAGATCAGTGACGTAAGAATCGGTTTTTTTCAAACACACAAGTTTATAATAAAAAAATCAGGCACTAAACATTATTCTCTCAAAGAAATAAAAAGAGCATTTATCAATATAAACATCAATAAAACAACATTTTCTCATATTTATTTTGTGTTATCTTGCTTTGTAAGTTAATCGGAGGGTTAAACTGAATGACAGATATGTGTTTACATTTACAACTGTCCGTTTCTTAGAAAGGACGACAACAAAGATTAGCAGCCGTATTCTTGAATGCTGCTCGCCGTTATGAGATTGAGGCCCTCGAATCAATAATTTCAATATAACAAGAGCGCATGAATCTTTAGCAAAATGCCAAATCGTCATTTTTTTGGCCGGATACCGTCTGATTCCACCTTGACTTCCGCTAAAATTAACAGTAAAGAAATGTTTTCATTAGTCATTTTAACACTAATAGCCTGTTCGATTGATACTTTAGAAGAGCTTCCGTTATAGGTAGAGGTTTGTTCGATTGCGCGATGGCAAGTAGTGTTGGAAAAAGATATGTCAGAATAAATATAAAAACACAATAATGATATTTTCTAGATGTTTCTAACAGCTTTAAAATAAATATATGAAATTCTCTATGACAGATCGTCTTTTGGATACCTTTGCGTTCGATTGGGTTTCTCTTCTAAGCTGTTCTAATCATTATATCCTCTTCTCGAACAGGGCATTAGACGATTGAAACGAACTTTCGACTAATTTACAGTTACAAAATTCTCCGTGGAATTATTGTACAGTATCTACTTAATCTTTGTTTTATTATAAATTCCTATTCAAATCAAATTCCATTTTGATTAAGATTTAAAAAAAAAATTAAGTAATATTGTTAAAATCTAAGATGACAATTAATGGGGGAAAACATTACGGGGAAAAATGAACTGAAATAAAACTATTGAGGAAGAATAAAATGTTCTGTTTGCTGTTAGCGTGATAAGTAGTAGCTTATCATATGCAAGTTAACCAGTTTGACTTCGGCCGAGTATCTTTTTAAAGATACTTCTTGTTTTGTTTACTTGGCCCTGTATGTATTGCGCATTGGTAAAACCGGGCTTTATCAAGAGCGCGTGACTATGTTAACACATGGCTTTGATCCAGTTATAACATGGGCAAAAGAGGTAAAAATAGTCGATTTTATAGTATAATTCGCGTTATTTAGCCCCTTTTCGCGATACTTCGCTTTGTATTTCGGGTAATTACGCGTTTTGACTAGCGTTATAACGCCTTTATTCATGTACTTACGCCTTTATCCGCGTTCCTAACACATTTGTTTCGCGTAATTACACCTTTTGCGCGTTTCTAAACCTTTATTTGCTATTCTACCCCTTTTGATTTGCGTATTTACGCCTTTTGATCCGAGTTACTACGCCATTTGATCCGCGTTTCTACGCCTTTATTAGCGTTACTACCACTTTTTTGCGTAATTACGCCTTTTGATTCGCTTTATTACGCATTTATTCGCATTATACTACCTTTACATTTTGAAATTTCAATTCAAACGTTAGCGGTTATGGTAATTTCTTTGACAAGTAACAGATCTTCTTGACATTTATAACGGCCAATGAAATGGTGATTTTCGATTATGTTTAAAGGCACATTATGCCTCAAAAAAATCATCTTTATTAAATTCTTAAGAAATGTCAAAAATGTGTTGAATAATGTTTTAATAATAGATTAAGAGGCATTTTAGTTGTTTAACAGCTGAAGAAAGTATCGCTGATTGTGCAGTAATGTGTAGTAAAGGTAGCAAAATGTAAACAATGAAGTATTTTGACTTCCATACAAATTACTAATTCACTATAACTATACCGACTACCAACAAAGCAAAATAAGCAAAAAAAATCATCTATTTTTATGGCATATGAGTATTTTTTTTGGAAACTGTGACAAGATACCAACAATTTGCAGTTTTCTGTGAAATACAAATGATAGCATTTTGTGGCATAACTTGTCTTTAATTCTGTAAGCGTATTTTCCATTACATTTTTGATAACACTTATTCTCTTCTGCAATAACTGAGCAGATGTCAGCAACTGATCAATTCTAAAGGTTTATTGCCAAATAAAGATTGAACTGAATTAATGTTTGCTCCTCTTAGTTTAATGTCCATCCACTTTGATAAAAAAGTGGTCAATTGTCCGTTTTCCGTTATCATGTACAGAACTTATTATGTTGCATTTAAAGCAATTAATAACAATTACTCGTGGATGGTAGTGTAGTAAAATAAACTTAAAAGGGAAGTGTATAATTTAGATAACTATTATTATGATAAATAATTCATAAAACATTGAATAGAACTCAGAGGTACACCAAAATGTATTTTCAAAAGTAATATGGATTCAATTAAGAAATAATATCGGTCTTAGCGGTGCTTATCGGCTATTTAACACCGGTTTGGAGTTTTGATGCGTATGAATTGAACAAGAAGGCCGTAGGTGTATTATTTAGATTCTAACAGGATACAATAAGGAAGATCACTAATGTCATTTTTTTCAAGCGGAAATAACTTCCGGTGCCGATTTTCGTATAACGCTCTTCGATTTTTGCACCCTACTGTTGCGAAGATATAGAAATTATTAAACAAAAGAAATAATAAGAAAAACGTTATTTTATCAAGTTTTCAACAACAAAAACTTAGAATGGATCGTATTGTGTTTACATCAGTATCCCATTTATCATTCTTGTATGTATGAAATAACGTCAGCTTGTTTATGAATGAGTTGTTTACTAAGGATGACGTCATTACGCTGCTTCCGGATTGGCGCCGTCAAGTAAATACTGTTTTAAGTGCAGAAAAATCATTTTTCATTGAGGCGCCTATAGTGTAACGCTAACATTTAGCGCGTGTTTACACTTTTTTATAACGTAAATGACGTCACGTCAAAATTTATGCACGGCCATGCTATACCATATTTACGGAATCGCAAAATCGGCACGGGTATGTGATAAATAGAGGATATTGAATGAGTGTAGTTTATACTAAATTTATTGAACCACTTCAAAAAAAATCATATTATGCGAGCCTATGGCGAGCATAATATTGTTTTATTCAACGAGTTAAATAAATTTAGTAATGAATCTACACGAATATAATATTTTATTTAATTTTACCCGTGAAATATGGTGCTATATCAGTCAAATATATTTCATATTTTTTAAAAATAAATATGAAATATAAATATGAAAGTGGGCGGAGTCAAAACTCATATTTATTTTTAGGGACTTCTTTCGCCATTTTGTTTGATAAATACAAAACAATTTTTTGTTGAATTTTGATTTGAAAACTATCTAGAATGATAGAAAATGGTCTAACTAAGAAAATAAATCCGAACACCAATATCTTAAATTCTGTTATTAACGCTGTACAGACGTTTAAAGAGTTGTTTACGTGACGTCACAATGTAGCGCCATTTATCGCGTGCAAAACAAGACGCAATAATATATTACTGCGCGCTGTACAGTTGCAGTTGCGTAGCAAGCAATGGGGTTCGTAGCCATTTTTCTTTGATAATAAAATTAAATAAAAAGGTTATTTTTTCGTTTTTCATGAAATATGGTATATATTTTCACTCAACATGATAAAATGCCACATATTTTCACTCGCCGTCCCGGCTCGTGAAAATATGTGGAATTTTATCATGTTTCGTGAAAATATATTCCATATTTCTCTCAAACGAAATAATATCCTCTTATTATTTCTCACATATATAAAATAAGAACATTAAACTGTTTAAATGAGTAAATTTTTTATTATTATTATATACCAAACTTCTTAAGCACTTTTTTTCATGCACATTGACACGTTCAAAAGTACTGTACAATATAACCAAATAAATGATACATTATTTCAAAAAAAAAAAAAAAAAAAAAAAAAAAAAAAAAAATTAAAACATCAATATTGCTCAAGTCCCAAATTCAAATCAAATGTAGTTTTAAAAAGTCAAAAAGACCCACATAAGTAATAAAATTCAGGTAAGACGCGCCTATAGTGAAACGCTAACAATAGCGCGCTTTATCGCTATGTTTCTTACGTCACGTCAAAGTGTTATTAAACAAGTGTAATATCGTTTTTATGAAATGGCTTGATTACGCTCTTGCGCCGCGGTTTATGTGATAAAAAGGTATATTTCACAAATGGCGCAGCCACGAGTGAAATATGAACTTTTGATGTTTACGAGAAATATGTGAAATATATTTTGATCTTACACTTAACTAAACATATTTTTTATTATATGCAAAGAAACGTTTAAAAAGTATTTTTTTATCACATAAACCGCAGCGCAGGAGTGTAATAAAGCCATTTAATAAAAACGATATTACACTAGACGATATTACATTAGTGTAATAACACTTTGACGTCACGTCATTTGCGCTACAAACGTAGCGTTAAAGCGCGCTAGTGTTAGCGTTACCACTAAAGGCGCGTCAAATAAGAAAACTCTTGTTAACAGTTTACCGTTCTTTTTTTATATATGTGATAAACAGAATATAATATTTGTGTAGATTCAATACTAAATTTATTGAACTCGTTGAATAAAACAATATTATGCGCATAATATGATTTTATTCAACTCGTTCAATAAATTTAGTATTAAACCTACACTCATGCAATATCCTCTATTTCTAATACCAAATGAAAAGCGCGCAAATAGTAATAAAATGTGACGTCATTTGTGTCCAGTACTGTGCACGCTGGTATTTCACTGAAACGACGTAACGGGCTTAAATTAAAAACAGTGAAAATATCAAATTGATATTTTTTTTACTGTTCCAAATAGTGAGACTATCAGTTTTATATTTCACTGATATATATCTATAAACCATCGAAAAGCATGTAATAAATTCGAATAAACAAGAACCTTTAAGCTGGTGGTTGATTATTCGTAATTCCAAACTATTTAACAGCTGAAAAGTACTTTCTGTTTTGAGGGGAAAACATGCTACATACGAATTACCAACTATCTGCTGGTAGGTAGTTTGGGAATCGGGCAAATAACCAACTAGGTCCCCTACTTTATTCTGTGTTTGAAAATGTTTTGTGTGTTCGAACATTTCATGCTGGTGATAGTGGATTGACTTATCAACTACCAGCTGTTAAAGATACTGTATGCTATGACCAAAGTGATAAACCTGGTGGTGTTGTTGGTAGTTTTCGTTCCAGATCACGGCAGCTAGCCACATTGAATTCCCTAGAGCACAGTTCAACCACCGCATCGTTCCTGGGCAGGCTGTCAAGCAGTTTTACCAACACTAAACGAAATTATATATATGTATATAATTATGCAAATAAAACAATTTTCAAACATCGGAGAATATGTAAAATATGTACTGCAAATATTTGTGCGTATTATAGTAATCATTAAAATATATGCATTCATTTCTTATTGCTAAATGTGACTTAAACTTTATAGAAATTAAATTTTTATAACCTCCTTTTATTTACATGAAATGTTAAATTCGGTAATATCTTTATACGTAAACCTGTTTCAGATCCATATATCCATATAGCCTCTTTTCCGTTCGTTTGTTTTTTTGTTGTTGTTGTTGTTGTTGTTTGTTTGTTTGTGTGTTTTTTTTTTTTTGGGGGGGGGGGGTTGTTGTTGTTTTTTTATTTGGGGAGGGGGTGTCAAATTTTATCTAGAAAACCTAAACATTGGGAATAAATGGGCTCTGCCATATATATAATAAACCAATTAATAAGTAGCAGACGACAGATATGCAAAGAGTATATGTGTGATCAGAGAACAATTGATTGAAGCAAAACGAGATGGGGCAAATATTTAAGTCCTCACAATACATTGTATCTTAACAGCATCATAGGGGCCACTTTTGCCCCACTCACTGCGCATGCGCGAGATTATTTTGGATTATAGTTTGAATGGCATAACACAATATAAATGCCATTCCCATTGGTTCCTGATTGTTAAAGAGTACACATTTCACACAATTCATTTATCGGTTACGACAATCAATTTCTCGCAAGTCGGTGTCGTATGAGATTTGAAAGTACCTTGAGATATGCAAGTTCCGTTTCCGGTTTCGAAATGACTTGCCGATTTCAGTCGGGGTTCATGAGACTCGGAAATCATGAGAACTTCAAGTTCACTGTTAATAATAAAGTTGCAGACTTGAACGTGTTTTTTCAACTTTCAAATAGTTTCTGGTCTCTCAAATTTATTGCCTCCGGCCGCTCTACTCGGACTCTAAAGGAAATTTGGTAGCTGAACTTGCAAATTTTTTATCTTAACAATACGTATGTCTATAAAAAAAACATATCATATACATGTATAAAAACATGTCCTCCTACTTAACTACCTACCGCCTCCGTGGTCGAGGGGTTAGAGTCGATGACTTCTAATCCAGTTACCTCTCTGGCGTGGGTTCGATCCCCGGGAGATGCTTTGGTAGTTTAGCGCGGAGGAAGGTAGTCTAGTACTGGTGTAACTCTCCAGGAACGATGGTTAGGAAACTACCCGCCTATATGACTGAAATACTGTTGAAAAAGGCGTAAAATGAAACAAACAAACAAACAAAAAACCTACTTATCTTCTCATCTTTTGTTTTGGGTCGGAAAGTATACATGTACATGTATATATAATATTTGTGTGGCCCTATGTTATCATTTCGATCATAAACTAATGTATTTACATAATGGATTTTACATCGGTTTGTAAAATGTAGGTTATCTTATTTCTCAAAGTCCAAAATAGTTAAACTAGGTTATCTCATTTTCTAAAAACTAAAAAACGAATAAATTGTGTATAGTTGTTTGTTTTTAGAAACTATGGAGTTTATTACATGGCAACTATTGAAACGAATGTATTAAATTAAGTAAGGTGTTTAATACCAAATCTGATCAAGACAATATAATACAAAAACCTTTCCTTTTCTTTTATTACTAAACGAAGTACATAAATATCAACTTAATATCCTCCCCGTGTGCAAATTCATAAAGAAACGCAGACAAGCGGTTAAAATGCAAATATCCCGCGTAAATGAGAGGGCCATGGGCAAGTTCTTTTAAAGAAACGCAGGAAGAGGGTTAAAACTGAAAATAGCATCCCCGTGAATGGTCGTGGACAAGTTCTTTCACAGAAACACAGAAAAAAGGTTAAACTGCAAATATCCTCCCCGTGAATGAAAGGGCAATGGGCAAGTTCTTTTAAAGTAATGCAGGAAAGCGGTTAAACTGCAGATATCCTCCCCGTGAATGACAGGTCATGGGCCATGGGCAAGTTCTTTAAAAGAAACGCAGGCAAAAGGTTAAACTGCAAATACCCCCCCCCCCCCGTGAATGAGAGGGTCTTGGGAAGTTCTTTCAAAGAAACACACAAAAAGGGTTAAACTGAAAATAGTCTCCCCATGAGGGCAAGTTCTTTTAAAGGAATGCATGTAAAGTGTTAACACTACATGAGGACCGGCAAGGGGGACAGACTGATTTCTGATATGCTAAAAATCTTGGGCGGATTTTAAATAATCCTCAGTACAACCTGTCGTGACCGGCCAGCTGTAGAGTAATAACATTTTACAGCATCAGTATCTTTTCTTCACAAAGAAATACTTTATTCAAAAATTTTACCCCTCCCCAACCACCAGGAACAACCCCACTCAACCCGAACAGGAAACCCAAAATGCGTGTTGCCTTAACAGGTATATGTGGTCAAATTAAATAAACGCGCGCGCGGGTGTGTACTTGTTCGTATGAGTTCGCTTAAAATTGAAAAGATTAACGTAAAATCTTTCCTACGCATTGCTAAAGATTAAATGTAAACACAATTTAAACATTGCAATTTTTAAAGGCCTTAATGCAATTTATTTAACGTTTCAAAACCAAAATTTTGCAATGTTTTTTCCATGGCACGTGAAGTGATAAAATCGATCCAGATCGTTTTATTATAAAAAAACAGCATAATTTAGAGAAAAAAGACGCGCGCGTGTATGTACTTGTTTGCATGCATACGCTAATTTAAGGTACATAAAACGTAAGATTCCTGTTAAATATAAAAACTGTAAAGAAATGTTTAACCTCTTAAATTTTAGAAAGCAAATAGATAATTTTATAGGTGAGGGAAAACATTGGACTTATAATATACAATATTGATCAAGCAAGTTGACAAAATCTTCCATTATATCTATATGTATAATATCTTTCTTTTATGTAGACTAAATGATTCATTTCATTTAGAGCTTTATTTTTCAGATGTATTGCACAATTTCAACTACCGACATATTTAAAATGTATAGGTGTAAGAAAATTTTGTAGTAGTATGACAAAACTGCTATACTCCTGCCAAAGATTATGTATTGAAACAGAAAGATGGCCAGGACCTGTCAGTGTACCTATAGATGAATGCAAATGCACATTCTGCAATGTGTAAGAAGATGAATTCCATTTTGTATTACAATGTAGAATGTATTCTCAGTTAAGAACACAATATATTCCAATTTGTTACTGAAGATCTCCAAATATGTTTAAATTTATAGAATCAATGAATACTGAAAATCAATTGTTAATTAGAAAGCTGAGTATATATATATATTTCAAAAGCATTCGTGATGCGCTCAGATATTCTATATGGAGCTGATTAGTATATTATTGTTTTTCATATCTGTCTATACTTTTGTTAAACTTAAAGCTAACATTTAGACTGTTAAAGTTATTTTACAAGCGAAACTGCTGTTATCTAATTGTTTCTCCTCATATCTTGTCATTGATGGCAAGATCTGGGAATGAGGAAATACATAAGTAAATATAAATCGTTATACTATAGTGCAATTTACCGGGTGGCTAATCTTGTATTTCGCTTTTGACAAGATTATGCCCTTTAAGTTTTCAATCCATTTTTCATAAAAAGTAGTTCAGTAACGCAAAATACATTTGTTTGGACAATGCACATAAATATAGCAGTTTAATCTATTTCATTAGGATATCACAGTTAATCAAGTTAAGAAATATATTATATTCCATCATATCGGTATAGCGGTGTTTATTTCTATACTGTACATTAAACGTACAACAACTCGATATATAGGTCAGTCGATATGACCATATTGATGATCCCGCAAAAAATCGCACAACATTTAAAGTTCGCTATCAGTAAGCAAAATTGTTTGAACAATACACATTTATATTCAAATTTGTTAAATTTCATTAGATATTTGCAGTTAATTATGTTAAGAAATTATATTGTATGTCAATATATTGTTAAAGCTATAGTGCGGCGGATGTTATATAACTCGATTTACAGGTCGTGCGATAAGACCATAGCAATTATCTTCCGTGCACAATCAAATTTGTTAAATAAATGCTTGAAATATTACTATTGTCAAAAATGGTGTATGCAACATGTAAAAATGTATGTAAAATTCACACTTTCGTTATCATCATGATTTAAATATAATATTCAACTGAGAAAGATTTTAATCTGTCAAATTATCTACTTCACTAGTGATAGATCTAATCTAATACATAAAGTCAGTACAATTGGATTTTTGTAACACTTAATTATTCTTTTAAATCTTATGTTGCATATATACTTTTGACACATACGACGAAAATGTGAATTATTATAAACATGTACATCATGTAATAGGCGAATATATGTTTTCATTTCCTATGCAAAATGTGCTACTACTGTAATGCATGCATGAGATCATGTCAACTTAGTATTGATGCACGTTTGCCATATTATATATTTTGCATATTGTACCACATGGGTCTATGACCTTCTGGGAAAAGATAAATTAACTTGTTAAAACTTGTTATGTAAGTATTCTACGCTTATTAAAGCTTGTTAAAAGGTCAATTTTCTCATAATTCACAGTGTCAGACACTTTTTCCTTATACTTAGATATCACCGCCATGGTGGTAATTACAAATCAATGGGCTGCTACTCCAGCTAGAAAAGCGGAAATTTACCCCTCATACAATTATCTACCTGTCACAAAAATTCCGCCCCGGAAATTTGCCCCATTGTTTTCTTAAATCAGACGTTTGCCCCTTCGAAGAGCGAACATTTACATCCCTCCCATGTTAAATTTACCATATTATAGAATGAATTTCATGCATAAACAAAGAATTTACAATTTAAATTCATATATCCCATTAACAATTATAGAACTTATATGTGTATTAGATCACTAACAAAAACTGATAATTAATTATAATCACTCCTGTGCGAAACATTAATATAAAGAAACTGAAGAAATCAATTAAAAATATAAGTCCTTTCAAAAGTTCCGTTGGGATGGAAATGTCTGAGAGGCCAAATATCTGAGGGGCTACATGTTCGAGGAGCTAAATGCTCTTGATTCCCTATTTTAATCATTGACACACGAAAGTTTGTCTCGCACATCATTAGCATAATTAGGTGCTACTTACGTTATATGAGTTATTTTATCAATAATCCTGAACACTCTATTTGATTACTTCAACTTTTATACGTGATATTTATACTGAACAGAAAATTCAAGCGTTTCATCCAATAACCACTTTGTTCTGCCCAAAGAGAAGTTAGATCAATACAGAATATCACGTTCATGCATGTTCACAAAATGCTCAATTGTTTGAATCGATAACACTAGATAATGCACATTTTTAAGTAATTTGATATATAATGCTATAAATGTCATTTAACGGGTAAAGTTTTTTATATATCTTAAATTACATTTTACATAAAAGCGTTCACACGAAGACCAAGTTCAATGTTATCACATGCTTATTGTACTTCATATATTCGGATTACAAACATTATCTCTCACAAAATGATTCTATCCAAACAAACAACTATAACATTAGAAATAAATGATGTAAAAATGTTTGTAAAAGGGTTCGATCCTTTATTCACCAGCACTGCAGTTAATGGAGATACATGTGTTGTACCTAAAATGGTGGCATTATTTTATATGTTCATTTATATGTATTAGCTTTAAGTGTATTAAATTTTTTAATATTTTTAGTGAAATCTGACTTTACTTTGTGAAACTATACATGACGGCACGAAATTGTATGTCGGGGTGTCTCTAATCTGGTTCACTGTCCTATTATGGTTCCCATCCAAGAAGTGCACAGGGAACCAGTCTAGGGTGGCTCTAATTCGGGATAACACGATGCTTATTGAATAGAAATCTACCACTTCATTAAATACATAGATAATATTGGATGAGTGTAGGTTTAATACTAAAGTTTAATAAAATCATATTACGCGAGACTCTGGCGAGCATAATTAATTTATTGAACTCGTTGAATAAAATAATATTATGCAAGCCAAAGGCTCGCATAATATAACTTTACTCAACTCGTTCAATAAATTCAATATTGAATTTACACTCATTCAATATCCTCTATTTATTACACTCTTGCGTCGCGGTTTATGTGATAATAGTACTTAAAACGCAAGGCACTGCTGAACAAACAATACACATTCTGAACGACACGCTTTCGGATGACATTTGAGATAAGAACTGTCAAGTAAGATTGTTTTTTTCTTCTTTGATCACGATAATGTCCCTATTATAATTACAACTCGTGCAAGTTAAACATCACTATTTCCCCTTCTTAATTCTGTATTAAACTGCCTATTTTTTTCTTCAGAAAACCTAATATCATCAATATAAATTATAATCGAAGAGCTACTTTTCGGCTTAAGGAATGTTTGCACTTTTTCGCATTTGCAAATAAGCAAAGAAAATTCAACACAATGTTCTCTTCAGCTATTGTATACAACAGTTTAATCGGAGATAGTATTCAAACGTTGCCTGTATTACACAACAGTTTCATCGGAGATAATATTCAAACGTTGCCTATATGTACAATACGGAGATTCACGGAGAGCTACGAGGATACTATTCAAACGCTGCCTGTATATATCTACAATGTACAAATCAGGGAATCACGGAGATCCACGGAGATAATATTCAAACGTTGCCTGTATATGTGACAAGACTAAAAATAAGATATACTCGAGTTTGGTGTTTTGATATATTATGTACTTCTAACATTCGAGTAACCCTGGTTAAATCAATTCTCTGGCTTTAAGCATCAATTTTGCCTTTTGCACTAAGCAGTCAGCGCATGTGAGAAATGCTAAGGGAAATGACATAAGTTAATAATTTGCATAAAGCGTGCTACAACTATTACCACATGGTGTTATTCTATTCCTATATCTACAGACCAGAAAGTGATTACAAACAATTCTCCAACACAACTGTTTAATACTCCATATTTCCTACAGTTTTGTCATAAACACTTTTACATGATACCATTTTTTAGGTTTAATGACATTAGTCAATTTAGTCATCGTTGTACGGTAATTTACGCGTATGTTTCGGGGTGGAGATATCTCAGGCTTCAATGTGCCCATTTTGCCCTGTATTTTATACAAATTAACAGATTTTAATCAATTAAAATCATTACTACACAGTAAATGATGACATACTTTCAAGAATTGTCTTTCTAGAGACACAAATGCATAATTTAAAGGACATAGACAAAGTTACGTGACTATGCCAGACATCTCCACGCCCCTGTTCACTTTCCACCCGTGCGCAATTACCTAAATGATATTGTTCCAACGTGAAAGATTACACAAATGTTAGGCAGTTGCCCGACATATATAAATTGAAATGGATGCTTTCTTTGCTTTCAATTATTTGACTAAAATTACTGTCAAGCAACATTCTACGAAAGCCTGTTGAGACCGTTTTAGTTAGAAGTTAGAAGGTAACAAACAAAGTAAAAGATAAATTTCTTATTTCATTTCTTTAATTTTATATTTCATCTTTAAGAATTACATTGTAAAAAAATAAGTAATTATATCTGTACAACTTAAAGGGCCGGATAAAAAACAACATAATTCAAATAGGAAGCAAGCGTCGGCCAAACTTGCTTCAACAAATGATGAATTATGCATTAATATATCAACCAAGTAAAATGTAAATACTTTAGTTTGATAGTTTATATCTTATAACTGTTAAACAAGAGTTGACACCATAAAAAGAGGCGGTAAAAAAGGAAAATAACAATTTGATTTAAACAAAATTTTATACGACATTGACTAATATCAAAATTTGACAAACGCTCTCTTGACCTGCTACATCATTCAATTATAACAAGTATTGTATATTGTAGGACAAGTTTTTCCCATACCAATTTAATAGTCAATTCGTTTCTTAAGATCAAGAAGTTAATATTTTTATTACATTTTATATCCTGCAACAGGGATTTTACCTTTCATGTCCCTTAAGTTAGAGAATCCATGCAAAATATTACATTTACACGCGCATCTATTTTTCTTTAAATACATTCAATATACTGAAAGGATATGGATCGATTTGGGAAAACAAAGCAAACTTAACTTAAATTTCAGATACGTAAAATCTATTTAACCATGCCTACATATTATCAGTTCTATACTACCATACATCTTCCTACAGACTTTTTTATGATGCTTTAATGAGTTATAAGTTCTGTCAAACATTAACGAAACCAGAACTAACAATTACGTCTACGATCCCGTTTACTCATGTGCGCAGGAAAATGGCCAAAAAATTCACACAAGTAAACGAATTTATCCGGTATTAAATAATCAGTTATTTATGTGAATAGATACAAAGTTGATAATTTTCATGTATTTTATATATTAATGAAGTATTTATATAACTGTAAACGATTGAATCAAAGTATCATAAGAGAAGATAACCTAATTAAACTGTTTCGGATTTCGAAAAATAAGATAACCTTTATTTCGCATAGACATGTATATCCTAGTATCATAATGTCAATATATATATAACATTATAATGATCTAACTAATATCATAGGGCCAAACAAGGTATTATATCTGTTTTTCGCCCTAACATACGATAGGAAGGTGGTTAGGTAGGTAGGTAGGTAGGTAGGTAGGTAGGTAGGCAGGCAGGCGGGTAGGCAGGTAGGTCGGTAGGAAGGTATTTCTTTACATGTATAAATATAAATGCTTCGCTTTTTATGTAGACATAAGTATTGTCAGGATTTGTACGTGATTCCGACTTGCGAGTAATTGATTGTCGTAACCCATATATGAACTGTGTGAAATGTGCACTCCTCAACAATGACGAACCCATGGGAATGACATTTACAATTTAGTGAAGATACAATGTATGGTAAAGAAACACATATTTGCCTTATTTTGCTTCAATTGTTCAATGATCATACATATACTCTCTTTATATTTTCTGTCGTCTGCTACTGATTAATTTGCATATAATATTAAAATGGCATTGCCCATACATTCTGAAAATTTTGGAATTCTGTGTTTAATTTAATATCGTCACGTCTTAGCATAGTTCTTCCTTCTTTTGAGAAAGAAGAAAAATTCGGAAAGACAAAAACGTAAGTAGGATAATCATTGGGAGATCCGAAACAGATTTATATTTGGCCTACAATGACTTGTAATTATCAATGTGATTTTGTATAACCCAATTGAAAACACAATAAACATCATTTGACCATCACATGATGTTATACCATTTAGATTTTGGACAATAGATAGGTAAGCTGGAGTTATATGCATACATTTATTTTTGGTATTTTTTAAGTTGACGTTCTTTAAATGAATTAAAATCTTTTTAATAGCAAATTACATTTCATAATGCACCGTCTCAAATGTTATTTTAATAGAACGAAGAAATAAAAATAAATCATAATAATATCGAGATAAAAGGATGATAGCTTCGTTAAAGGGAGGAAACTATGTAATTTATACACATGAACCTAAAACGGTTATGAAGGCAATGAAAGATTTTTGAGAGTCAATAGTGGAAGGTAGTCACTTGTTGGTAGTTGGGTATTCGAATAACCAGCTACCTACTAGCTGTTAGTAAATCATTTCACTATCATTCATTTTTAAACACAAAATAAAGAGGGGACATAGTTGGTTATTAACGCGAATCCCAATCTTCCTACATGCAGGTTATTCAATCTTAGCATGTTTTCCCCTCAAAACAGAAAGTACTTTTCATCTGATAAATAGTTGGGAATGACCAGACACCAGCTAGAAGGTAGTTGGTTATTCGAATATACCAACTTCCAACCAAACTGACGCTTGTGATTAATAAAATTTACCATTTAATACTTTGATATAGATCACTTACTACATTATCTCCTGATGTCTATGTAAAGATACATATAACATTTATAATGTTTTCACGTTTAACCCATTACTTCAGGAGTATTTTGTGAAAAATGGTTGTTTTCATTGCAAAGCCTCATGTTACAAGTTCAAATTGCTATGAAACTATAAAAAAGGCTTTAATACTGTTCAAACTGGCACAAATGTTGACTGGACCATTGCCTTTGTAACCGCATACTCGGTCTTTAATTTCCTGTAACCATGGCAACGAAGGGACATCTCAATATTGCAACAACAAAAAACACACTATTTTGCATTGATTTTTCCATAAGTGCTGCAACTTCTCAATGGATTGAGATAGAGTCAAAAGGTTTTCAGCGTTGGTTAACGTTACCTTAAGATTGACCTTGGGCCATTTTTAACCTCCCACAAGTCCACAATTTTCTGATAATACTATTTCTCAAACGAAAACAAGTGTTTGGGTCTAAATTGAGCATTTTGTTTATTATTTGAGGCCTCAAAACGAGGGGGGGGGGATGAAAAGACGTCCAAATGAAGTAATGGGTTAAAATTTTCTTTTAAAGGCCAGCTTTCATATGTCAGTTTAAGAATTGAAAACATTTATGGCCAATTATTTTGCAAACTATAGTGTTTCAACTGTTCAAATAGGTTTGAAATTTTACGAGGATTGTGTAACATTTTACGTTAGCTATGCCATCACGTGATAATTGTTTGACATTTACGGCAATGTTGCGACATTTAGCGGCATTGCTTGTCCTCTTATGGTAATATGATTTTCAGTAAGTTTGATAAGACTCGGGTAATCTCCTTTGAATCTTCTTGAAGTCGTCGGCTTGATATTGATTTTGACGCTAATAAAGGCGTAAAAACGCAGATCAAACAGCGTAGAAAGAAACTCGGATAAAAAGGCGTTACTACGCGAAACAAAAGCAGTAGAAACGCGAATAAAAGATTTGAAACGCGCAAAAGGCGGCGTAATTACGCGAAACAAATGGCGTAGTACGCTATTAAAGGCGTAATAATGCGAGTCAAAACACGTGATTATGTAAAATACAAAGCGAAAAAGAGCTAAATAACGCGAATAAAGGTGAAGTAACGCAAAAGAAAAGGCGTAATAACGCAAAGAAAAAGGCGTCATAATGCTTTTTTCATACCATATTACTTCTAATCAAATGGCATAGTAACGTCGAAAGGAAGAGAAATATTGATCTGAATTAATTGCACAAGTTATAAACTAGTTCATATTTATATAAAATGCATTTTCAATAATTATCGATTCCATTTCCTCAGTAAAATTATATATATAATAACTATTTGTGATACACCAATGAAGATTCTGACTTTGTGACTTACTTATAGGTCCAATGGGTCAGGTGTAAATGCAGTTACTCTGAATTCACATGTATCATACATGTCACTATCGTAAATAAGTTTTTCTTATCTTATCTAATTTTTCATGTGCGTCATATGTTCATTTATCTACTGATATGTCCTGTAAAATTACCTAAAAACCTGATTGTTTCATCTTATGTGTGATTTATTTCTTAATTAAACTAAAGGTAAAAAGCTCTGTAAAAACGTTAGGTATATGTAAATCACATTAGACTGAACGTGTATCGTATGTGATACGCCTGATGGAGTGATAGTGTTTTAGTCAAGTCATAGTTAGAAGACGTTCTCTTCTTTGTTTTTGAAAGTTAAAGACTGTTCAAATTAGGAAAAATTATCTTTTAGTTCGATAATAGGTATACTTATATTTTAATGAAAGTATTTCTTAATATATTAAGATAAAAATCAGACTGTGGCCTTAGGACGTATCTGTAGAGAATTTGAAATAAAACGCACATTTATTAAGATCAACATTGTTCTTCCTTCCTAGCTTATCTCGGATGAAAACTAAGTCATAGGATCTTGAAATAGAAAAATCTTATTAACACTCTAGTAACTACTGTGTTGGTCCAATAATCCTGGAAATTGGTCCGACAGATTGTTCTCAACTTTGAATATAGGTCATATGAAGTCAAAAACTGTGGGCTACTGTTGCAGTCCAAATATATTTTAAACTGGTCAGAAGAGTTACTTAGATGATTTCTAGCCCAAGTTCGAGTATAGCTCACCTGGGGTCAAAGTATGGGAAAGCCTTGTTAACTGTCTAAGGGCTAACGGTCCTACAAATATAAATCAGAAAGTGTGTTTAGATGGTTTCTAGCTCAAGTTAGAATTTTGTCATCGGGAATTAAAAAAACTAGGTCAAACAGTCCGACCATGGAAAAGCATTGTTGTCCTGAAATTTGTAAGAAAGGCTGTTTTGATGATTTTCAGCTCAAGTATCACCCTGGATATTGATTAGAAAACGTTTTTGGCTGATTTCCTAAACTTGTTGAATATGGTTCATATGGGGTAAAAAGTCGGTCATACAGCCCAAACACGCCCGGCAAAACTGTCGCTCCACTTCAAAATTGTGGTGTGCGGTACAACGAGCGAACGGCATTTCCGAGATAGAACGGATGGCCGATTTAAACGGATAATTGTATGTTTTGCTTATGTTTTTGCCTTGTTATTCATTTAAGATGCATCTTTCTCGAAAAACGGAAAAAATATTTCCGTGTAGGATTGTTTAAGGTTTCCAATGAGCTAAGCTGTTACAAAAACAAAATTATATTAAGCCCGGGAGAAATTTTCTCCCTGACGAAGCGACCGACGATTTGTAGTCTATTGAACTTCCCAACCTTTAAAATGCCATACCCTTCGGATTTCTTTAAAAACTGTATAAGGAAAATATCAACCCGTAATAAGAACTTGTGTTTCGTGCAATATGAATTACTCCTGAAGGATTGCTTAAATTTGTAAATTGATATTTTTCGAAAGTAGCGGATCTAAAGGGCAAGAGATGGAGCGAAAGGTTCGATGTTGAGTGCAAGGCGATATTAATTTGGCATATTAGGAGGACCCTAGTCTATGAAGTTTTATATATAAAAGCGTTAGGAGTTAAAATAGACGTGATCAAATGTTGAGAGTATATATACCTTTTAAAGACAACTAACAAAGCGTGATATCCTTTCAACGACTATAGCGTAATACATATAATCGAGAAGGTGTCACCTACATATATGGCTGCCGTATAGATTCCTTTATTTATGATCAAAATGTGGATGATGCCCGATCATTGAATCATATGGTGTAAAACAGGATGCCACTTATTCGAGGTCAATCATGATTTTTGACATGGTTATGTACATTTAAAAACACGTGCCCATGCAAATTCGACAAAATCGAATATTTTCAGTTCTACTTCAAACAAATGTTTCCGAGCAGGTACATGTAACGCGATTGTTCCCGTCAAATGATATTTTTTTCGAAAAGTAAGATATTTAAGGTGCTGAACAGAGAAAAAATTATGCAATACACGGGGCGCATTAAATGGATCACTACTACCGAGTTAATATTACTTTGACTTTCTGTAATGAATAGCTCTAACGTACATGTTCAGATCAAACACAAATAAGCCACGTTTTCATGAAATAGAAAGACTTTTGTAAGGTGGGGACTCTCTATGAAAATGGTTGATAAAGTGTCAGACGTTCTTAGGATATAAAAGTTGATGAACAAGATCAACAAGGAAAGGCGGCGTTCAATAAACGGCACTCCCATGCGACCCAACAACAAGGACCACTGACAAAGAGCCCAGGAGGCCCTCAAACAAAAACTGGACAAAGTGCAATGCCGAACACGGACAGGTCAATCACTAATTATAAAATGAAACACAAGAAAATAAAAAGCGAGAAGGAAAATAAAGAAAAAAAAGGATAAATGACTGCTTAACAGGCTTACAAAGTAAAGGGGCATAGAAGAATGGGGATATGAGACCCAGGGAAAGGGGTATACTCGTATAAGTGTTTCAGTTATGTTTCAAGATACTTTCTTTCTTATTTAGTATTGTTGCTAACATGCTAACAATTTTAATTCAAAGCATTAATTATTGGGTGAGCGATATAAGCGTCATCATGGCCGTCTTATTTTTGTTTATTTTGACATTAAAATTGTAACTGTGTATATTTTTGAAAGATTAATCTCTTGAAAATAGTTTACTTTATGCTACATTTTCAAATAAGCATGAATATAATATATAATTCATTTGGTTCATTTACTAATTTAATAGTTATTTAATGTTAGGTATCTCCATTTCTGTTTGTCATTTTTTAATGTTGAAAGAAGGAGGTAATAATCTGTATATTCTGATATTCATATTGATCTGTTTCAGAAAAATTACAATAAATAGAAACTGAAAATGTCTTGCCCGGAAAAGGAACGGAAACTGGCTCCCAAGGTAAGGACATTATAAAATAAATAAATCCAACAATAAAAAATGAATAAACCAACAAATAAATTCATTTCTTTATTTTTTTACGTATTTATTTATTTACTTATTTATTTACTTATTTATTTCTTCATGAATGATTGATTGATTGGTAGAAATATCGATTGATTGATTGATTGATTGATTACAAGTTTGGGTTGTCTGCTAAGTGTGATAACATTAAAAATTAAAGATACATGTATGATTTTTCATGGGATATCGGAACTTTGTATCAAATATATAGAAATACATAGTATATATAAAATACTTGTTTGTTTTGCATGTGAGTTGACAAAGTATTTCTCAGAGTATTTTTACGAGTGGCGTTGCCATTTGTGAATATATATCAGCTTGTGGTCAAAAGTAAGATATGATATGCAAAATATATAAATCTCCTATTCATTTCAGTGTTTTAAAGGCTTTAATTCAATTTGCGTTCTAGTTCATGACGTCATCAAATCATGACAATCATGATATTTAAAAAGGATTTAACTCATAACAGGATTGGAGCAGTACCTCAAGACGCTTGCAAAAATCATGATCACAAAATAGACAAATATCGTTTTTTTTTTGTTTTTTTTTTTGTTCTTTCGCCGATTTTTACAATTTTCATTCAATATCATACATAAATCGGTGTAAAATGATGTATTAGACATTTTAAAGTTCATTCCGTTTGGTAAAAAGGCAAGATTATAGCATTTTTTATCATTCAAGCGCCTTGTCCGGTATATACCGGAATACGGGTTTTAGTGTGGTGCTCAAATCCTTCTTACAGTCTCACTCATTTAAAAATCATTCAGAAATATTTCACTTAATTCATTAGTTTAGTTCATTTTAAAAATGATAATAATAATAATCAATATTTTGACCTCTGAGGCACCTAAATTCAATTTCTAGCTGCTTTAAAATTCGACCCAATTCTAAAAATGTTTATCAATGAGATTTAATTCAAAGTTGATCAAACAATTCATTTTGGCCCCAAATATTTTAATTGAAAAATTAAGTGTAAGGGGCTTCGGACAGTAATAACTTAAGGAGAGGACAATTATGAAGATTAATCACAAATATTTATTGTCTGTATATGAGTGAACAATGTCCTAAGTTCTGCCGCTTTCAGGACACTAGTAATTATTAATTTTATATAAAAGCTGCATATTCCTTTGTAAAATGAATGCGAATAATCAAATAGTTAAAAGAAAGCCTTAATTTATTATTGACAGGTTTTTAACGATCCTATCCATGGTAATATAGAGTTACATCCCTTGCTGGTGAAGATCGTAGACACGCCGCAATTCCAACGTCTTAGATTCATTAAACAACTCGGTGGTGTTTATTTCGTGTACCCCGGGGCATCACATAATAGGTTCGAGCACTCGATCGGGTATGTCTCTCGTTATATTCTGTTTCAAAGGTCTTTATTTTAACCTAATAGACACTTGAATGTAAGCGTAAAACTACCACCAACTGATAATCTGTTTACCCTCCAATATAGTGTTTACGTTTAAATTACGTTACTTAATGTAACAACAAGGGACATAACTCTTATATGGCTCCGTATTCAATTATATACTAGTAATCTCCCCTGGACTAAAAAGCGCTTGTTGATCAAAGGTAGCAAAATTTAATTCGCCTATATATACATATTGTGCACATCACTTAGACCATATATAATGTTTTTAAACAACACATGACTGCCGTAAATGTGGTTGATACTGCTAACCTTATAACTGACAAAACCTGATTACGTTCAAGGGTACCATTTTATCTTAACCTCAAACTATTATGTAATAATGGCCGGACGTTTGTTTAAAACTATTGCCAGTTCTCCCTTATTCCGCCTTTTACGGTTATTTTATCTGAACGAGCTACTACAATTGCTATTATTTAAATTATGTGTAAAGTTGTATGGCGGGAAGTTGCTTATAATAAGCAAATGAAAATATAGGTAACCATGTTTAAAAACATTTGATTGGATTGGAGTTGGGTTTTGGCGAGAAGCCAGTAAAGCCCAACATTTAATTAACTTTAACTTGGCTTTGGTGTTAGCTGGCTTTTCTGTCTGCAAATTGACAAGCTTGTGAATATTTTGTCGTAAAATTCATTACAATTATGAACAGCTCGCTCATGCATTTCCTTTTGGACAAATCACAGTTAATATTTATGTTAGCTTCTTCTACGGATTAGAAATGTCGTGCACCATACTCGTTTACTTAAAAGAACATACCATCAACAAAATAAAACAAACAAAAAAAACATCATTTCGAGACGAATCTGCAGTAAATAGTGATTTTAGTTCTTGATTTTTTTGTTACATGAAAGCGTTTGTCACCTAGCCGGACGATTCGTGCGAGCTCTTAGAGACAAGCAACCGGAACTGGACATATCGGATGAAGATGTACTTTGTGTTGAAATCGCAGCCTTGTGCCATGACCTTGGTAAGACTTATTTTTCCAATACATACCATTTGTGAAGGTAGATATAAATTCTGACTATCGTGATTCAATTTCTAGTGCAGTTATGTAGAGTAAAACACGGTTCAAGCTCTTTGTAGATAGAAATGCACAATGATATAGTCACACAGAGGTCAATAGGTCTGAGACGTTATTAATGTACAATACATTTGAACGATACACAATGCATTATTTTAATACAAGGCAAGAATTAAATATACCATAACAACAGTAAAAAAATTAAAGAAAGATAATTATGTTAAACTACATAAAGTGGAGAAGTAATTGTGTGTGTCGACGTCACTTCTGACCTCTTATGATATGCAAGCTTTCATTTTTATGCTATGTATGTATCATGTTTTAATTTATCAATAAAAATTTTCCCTGCTGCGATTTGTCGGGACCCTGCTTTTTTTTTCACTGAAAAAAGTCGCCATTTTGAATTACTGCAAGATAGGTTTCCGAGACATTTTTAAAACAAGAATCTCATTTGCAATACTTCACAACAACGGATTTTAACATTAGTTATATTTTGTTCACTAAGTAATTAACTTTTTTAATTTATGTTTTCATAATGGCCTTGTTATTAGGCTTTAGACTGTCATATAAGCCTTCGGCCGAATATGACATCTCAAGGCCATTATGAAAACACTTAATTATTAACATTATATTAATATTTGATGCAAAATTACGTGTAAACATGATGTTTTTATTCTTTTTATTATGCAATATTATACATTACATAAATATTTTCCTTCTTTATTAACATAAATGCAGAAATTTCAGTTATAAAGTTTTCAGTATGTCGTAAGCGGTCCGACAAAAAGTAAAGTGACCGCCTTATAGGACATTATTTTCTTTTTTATCGGACCGCTAAAATTAAAATAAATAACTGTATTTTATACCTTTTTCACAGGACACGGACCATTTTCTCATCTGTTTGATATGAAAATTATTCCTAAAGCGTGGGAAATGGATGATCGTAAAAACGATGAAAAATGGAAAGTAAGCATTTATACATTTTCTTTCATTTATTAAACTGACCATGTGACTACAGTTATAAATGAGAAACTCAGGTTCTCTTCACGTTGTTTAAACTTAATACAGGTATTTATTTCGACCTGTTTATGAATAAATGTAAGGGATACTATGTCTATGAGTAGTGGAGGACCCCACTCTAGACGAGTTTTTTCCTTCTTTGTCTATATAAAGCAGCCATCTTGGATTTTATTTTTGGGAGCAGTCAATTTCCGAGAGGATATGTTTATCTGGAGAGGTCATTTTTAATAATAGGTTAAAGGAATTTTTCCTGTCTTATTAATAAATGGATAAAGGGATGTAACATCATTATATTTTATATTTTCTTCATCATTGGTTTCTTTGTAAAGGGTGAATGCTTATGTTCGACCCCCGAAAAAAGCCTCTCTAGGTTGTAAAGGAGTTGCCATATCCAGCTATTCTATAAAAGTCCTAATCTCATTGTTTCCTTTTATTTCTTTCTCAAACTCAGATTCCCAGATAGATACATACGTATAACCAAGCTCTTCTATACATCTCTTTTCAGTCAAAGTATTTTGATAAGCTCACCCATGGTAAGTTTACTGACAGGGTTAATTGTATTACTTGAATGTTGGTTAGGATTGTCATGCCAAACATCACCATGGAACTCAAGAACAACCTTTTGGTTTTTTGTTTCATAATAACCATCCACATTGTAAGGACCGATGACTTATTAGTTCTAGAGACAGTTTGACAAGCGGAAGCAATGGTAATGTTCTTTTTAAAAGGATCAACACCGGTAATGTGTAAGAATATCAACATCAGACCGGCAATATTTTAAAATTTCATTTTGAAAATCAAAGGGTGTGTTCTTGTTGGATTCATACCACTCCATGAAAATGGCTCTTGAATCAGGTTTCATTGCGTCAGGATTGTAGAAGTTAATGTCTGGTAAATGGTCTAAGACAATGGTTTCATTTTCACGTCTGTTGAAAAGATAGGGGAAGAAACCCTCTCTTAATTCAGAAAATCCAAACATTGCTGGAAGTTTTGAAAGGGCCATTGGCCAAGAAATTAATGGAATCAATCATTTTAACTTTGCAACTAGGAACTATCAAGGACATGATCTTGGCACCATTAGGTATCACTGTAGGCACGATAGCATTTCTGTACAAATATTCATTATTGGATAAGAATCGTAACCTTGAAAGTTGTGACAAATAACGGTTGCGTTGTTATTTTCTTCAGAGAATAGCCAACTACAAAATTGATCAATGGTATCAAGGCCTGAAAAATATCATTTCATTCTTTCCACACATCTCACATTCGCTTTTCTCACTCAACTCTCCACCCGTACACAAAGTACATACTTTATGAGTCACACATAGATTTGGTATATGTTCAAAGGCCCCGCATTTTGACTTTTGACAATGTATACATATCCCATTTTCACCTATTTCATACCCTCTCTCGCATTGAACAATATCTTGTTGTCTGCATTCGAGATCAAAAAATATAAAAGTATCTATATTTTCTTTATCATCATTTTTATCAGATAGTTCATCTTGATTCTCGGGTTTCATATAACAATACTGTCCTTCTTCGAAGAAGTCTTTACATATTTCACAATATTTTGAACCGCAAACATGAGGTTTTTTACTCATTTGTTTGTTAATTGTTTTTCCACAGTCATTGCATCTATTGTATGTACGAAACGTAGAATTACCTTTGACTGTAAGTGTAACTTTTTTATGAAGTTCTAAACATAACTCTCCATGGAAAAACCGATTACATATATTACAATGGAGCCATTTTTCGTCGCTTAGAGTATGCACTTTCTTACACGAATGCCATACATTATTGCATGAATGATTTTCCATGTGATCGTCACCTTTCTGACACATCGTACAGAAATATTTTTTGCTGAGAAATGCTTGCATACTAGTGATTATGTCATAATGATGGTCATGGTGATATATTTTTTTATCTGCCTCTTGTCCTGCGTATATAATACCGTTGAAATGGTGGGCTGACACTACGTAGATATGGAATCCATTCAGAAACTCTTGAAACATCTTGATTTCTGTAATACCACAAGGTCCAAGTGGTACATCTGCTTGTTTGTGTAACTCCTCGGCCATTTCCCTTTGTATGGCACAACCCTGTCTGATGCTGTTCCACTTTTCGTGTTGTCCGAGTTTAACTTTTGCCGTAACAATAGCTCTTGCACAGCATAAGTTGTCGTCATTCTGAATACGGGTAAAGCAATGTTTTTCTTTCAATGTCTTCGCTAGGTCCACATAAGGACATCTTTTTCTAGCTCCTCCAGTTGGCATGTTTACGTGAGTCACTTCAAAAATAAGTGATTGATCTATGGTAAAATCTTCATTTGACTGTAGAACACCTTCTATTTCAGACATAAAACGCTCTGAGGTAAGTTCTGGTAACCGCATAAACGGTATAATGATGGGGTAATCCAATGTAGGACTTTGAATCACCATTCTGATTAAGTCTTCTGGTTTAGCTTCTGTAGTCAAATGATCAAAAATGGCTATAAACAATTGATTGAGTGTAGCCAGTACATTTTCTGTGACCTCTAAATCTTTAAAATTCACTTTGTAAGTAGAGGTTGTGGTTTTAAATTTCTCCATCCGCTGTTCATTGATTTTTGTAATAGTGTAAAAATCTCTCGGATCATCGTTCTTCTTTATGCGCTTTGTAGGCATGTCATCATTCTTTGCAGATCTCTTTAGCCCTCCACCTGTCTGATGCTTTTGAAATTTGTCTCTATTGAGGTTGAACTGACGGCTGAACACCTGTCTGCATTCATTACATTGTAAATTGTTGGTTGATAAATGCTTCTTTTTATGTTCAACAAGGTTGTTTTTTCGATTAAACACTTTACAGCATATATCGCAGGTGAATTTCTCTCAATGGTTTTCGCTCTTTCTGTGTTGAAGTAAATGACTCAACTTTGTAAACAAAGTCCCACATGCGTTAAATTGTAAACCATGTCTGTCCTCTCTGAAGTCTAAGGTCTGAATGTAAAAAAAGTATATCACACTCTTTGTACGTATTTTTAGACTCTTTCTTGCTCCTGATTGGTCTATAATATATATTTATTTAGTGTATGATCACGTCTGTCATTTTTGACGTCCTAAATCCGAATGTGAATATAGTGTATAACACTCTTTCTTACGTATATTCAGAATCATTGCTTATTTCTGATTGGTGAATCATTTGAAATTCTGATGCATGGATATACTCGTATATGATAAATATTTCTCTTATTCGCCGTCATAATTACGCCTTTTGATTTTGTGATAAAATGATATATGCATACAAATGCTTTAATAGCTAAGCATCATTGCTTACTTACATTTCCAATAACACTTCTGTTTTAGTGTATTTTTTTCATCTTTATAACTACCGTATTCTGGTTTTTAATTGGTTAATACATTTGAAATGTTTTTCTTTTAATAGTAATACAATAACTATTGCAAACTTGTGTTAAATCTGTTTCCTATATTATTTTAAAAAGCAAGGAAAGAAACTGGTTTACTGCATATTTTAAAAAAAACTTTTATGTACTTTTGAGACTAACAAACTTATATTTTTAAATAGATTCGATGGTTCGAGCCAACGGCCATAAAGCCGAAACCTCGCTTTTTCAAGACTGACACTGTCCTTAAAAGACTCCAGTCTGCTGTGGACGCAACACAAATTCTTCCTCATTTATATCAGATGCAACAAGTAACGTTTAAATCTTTCCTGTCACTATGAATCTATGTTGCATCCACTGCAGACGGAGTCCCAATTAAGGGATGGTTTCAGTCTTGAAACTGTGCAGTTTCGGCTATATGACCGTAGATTTGAGCATTGAATCTATAAGGCGGAACGGATTCATTAATCTCAATATATCACAAAGTTCAATTTTATTTCATGAAATCATATTTTGAGTACTAGTAAAGATAAAAAAAATTATGCCATCTTTCAATCCGACATAAACTTATGCTATCGTTCGTAAGTGCCACTATTATGTCATATAACTCATATTGAAACTCGCGAAGGACGATTTTTCTTATGTTTTTCACAAATAATATGATTATAAATGAATATTTATTCATTTAGTTCTGCAAAACGTTAATAAATCATTAACTTAATATAAAACAATAGAAATGACAATAATATATACACATGTAGTTGTAAAAAGTAAAATTGAGCGTAGATTTACAAACACCAAGTTACGAAACACATGTTTGTTGTTCTCTATTAGGTCCGTGCGCTTCAAATAAATATAGGAAAATCTCAGTTTTCTTCATTAAGTAGCGGGGAACTAATACCTATTTCAGACAGGTAAAATAATATCCGATTTATGGTTTAAATTAAACTTTGTTCAGACCATCGCTTGTCTAAAACCAATAATTTCATCTGATAAATAGACAGGCATTAATTGTGCACATTTATGTTTAGGAGTAACTATACCGTAGAGCGATATTGACTTGGTATATTGTTATGTACTGTTAACGCTCGTTAACCCATATGTGTTTGCGAGTCACAAATTTATGCAGTAAAATCCTATTTTATTAAAACGCAATATTTTTCATAATAATGATAGGTTCGCCCCACCATCTGCATGTGTGAGTATTTCTTTAGGGCGAGGAGGGTATGTCGCGAAATGCAACCCGTGACGCCTTAACCCTTCCTGTCCCCCTCATGAAAAAAGAATTTGTGTTGCGTCCACAGCAGACTGGTGATGCTCCTCGAATAGGTTTTGGACACAGGAAAGAACACCTCTTGTAGTTTCAGAGTTATGTCCCTGGAAAAAGTTCAAAGTGCAATAATTCCAAAATTAGGCAAGGCAGAGTTACTGTTCTTTGCAGTGCATTTTTAATCACTGTGATCTATCAACCTACAAAGTTTCTTGTTGATATCTCTTATGGTTTCGGAGTTATGTTTCGGACAACTTCAAAAAGTTAAAATAAACAAAGGACAATAACTCCAGA